TGTTGAAGTTCTCACCAATTGATTAATATATACACTTATTCAATCAACAAAAAGAAAAAACTGCGTGCAATTTTTTTGTTGATCTGAAGGTTGTTTTTGATAATGACATGCATAGATTCATAGTGCACCCTGATTTGAACACGAGTTTATTCATTTGTGATTTTTTAATACATATAACTGTCACTGAACAGGCGACCCAATTTTGGGTTTACGAACACAAATGTTCAACTCCGTAACCTTGTAATCTTAAAACTGATCCAGATGACAAGGGAATTCCTTGACTAAGCATTGGGAGAAATTTGCTTTCGTGGGGGACTTTTTTGATGGAACTATCCCACATTCGCGTTACATGGAGAGGAAAACCAGGAAAAACTTCTACGGTTGTCTGATAGCAAGAGGACTGTAACTCACGAAATCTGTAATCTCACGTGGATTCGTGAGGAGTGGATCTCACGAATCCACTGTAACTCTACCACTGAGAATGTTTAACGTCAGCACAGTGGTCTGTGCAAGCCGGATGTAGAATTTGTATCAACCAACTATCCCTGGGATTCGAAAAAGGTTCATCTCATTGGAAGGTAAGCACTCTATCCCCTGAGCCCTCAATGTTGCCTCAATTCCTGGTTGTGCCACCCTGGCTTTAAAAATCTTTAGCCGCTTACTTCTGGGTTAGAGTAACTAATACTTGGATTTCAATCGTTCAATAATTATGGTTAATGCATTAGCAGTTATCTGTATAATGAAGTTTACAGATTCACTCACAAGGCGCAGCTCGGCCCGGCTCTCGAATGCTTGAGTTTAACACGTATGCTACATATGTAGTTACGGAATTCCATTTCGGCAGTAAATGAGTTATCTTCATAAAGCGTAAAAAATATCTTCCTACCACTAAAGTATCCATATGTCATGTATTCATGTGTCTTCTTGTCTCTACCGGAATTTTCGCAGCATGTAAAGGCATATGTCACTCAAATTTGTTGAATCAATAATCCTCCTTCAAGATATCATCTATATTATCGTCTTTTTGAAACCTGATTACTCTATATTTTATTTAAATATATTATTTTGCATTCATATCTTGTTTTTATTATTGTAACTGTAGCATCTAAATATGCTGTCATTTCTTTATTAGGTTAAAAACATTTTCACCCAAATACAACAGCTCCGCATAATGCTACAGAATAAATAATATTCTGCAAAATCGTTCGGAAATGGCATCCATTTCCGAAAGTGATTTCATACATGAAACCTCAGTGGACTGTGGCGTCTGAAAAGAACAAGAAAAGTTGAGGCTGTGTAATTTGATCAGGAAGAAGCATAACATATATTGATGACTTCTGAGACGTAACTCATGTGAATTTGTATACCTAGTTAATCTTTAATTATCTTAGGTTGTTCTCTAACAGTTGCACAAATTATACTCATATATATATATATATATATATATATATATATATATATATATGTANATATATATATAATATTTGTTTTTGGTGTATATACATAACATAAGCTAAAAAACGAATGAAATAATATAAATTATGGTTTAGTTTGAATTAAAAACAGCGTAGACAATGTTTATTAGGGAAACATATTTCTTTAATAAAGATGATAGTTATTTTATTTTAATTTGAAAAGCGTCATGTGAAGTACTAATATCATCTTTTATGATTGTTCTTTTTATAATTTGTTCGATATTTTGTAATTAGAAATATTATATTTTCTTTTAAAAATGCCATTTCTATTTCTTTGGTATACATCTATAGAATTTTGTCGCAGTACTTCAGTTGCTTCAGAGCTGAGTTGAAATTATAATTACTAGAAGAATTTAATTTCATGAATATTACTTCAGTTTTTCATTATTCTCATTTTAATGTTCATTGAAAAACAATAATTTTTACTATTTCTGAAGGAACAGTAAAATACGTTTTCAATATTAGTTAATTTATCTATAATTAGAACTTCATTTTAAGTTGGTTATGAAACAAAATAATTAATGCTGAATATTAAACCAATTTCATTTTTTGTAACAATTATAAATACCTGATGATCAAGATATTTTGTACAAATACAAACATATTAAAATAAATTACCTATTATAGTTTCATGCAATTTAACTATGATTTTACGCCAAAATCATGTCTTGACAATACAAAAGGTTTTATTAGTTAAGTTTGCAATCTAAATGTCATAGAGAGAAATGGTTTAACGTATGAAAAAGCAAATAAATCTTAGCAATAAATTAATTTAAGCATGAAATTTAAAATCTTTGTAATAAATTTTTTAATTGCATCTTAAAATATTTTAAGGCAATTTGCAACACTGATTAGAGTGGAAAATAAATAGGCCTAATGCAACCATTATGTACTCTTACTTACTTTACTTTATACTAGCTGTACTTTATACTAGCTGAATATTCACTCTTTATGTATGTGGCGAAAAAAAATTAAATGATCAATAAATCAATATTAATCAAAATTATGAAATCATGTACTAAACTGAAAGACATATAACGATACAATTAATTTAGCTAAGAAAATTCCGTTTTTACTTTATTTATTTCTTTCCCTTCCCGGTAGCTTTAAGTTATCCTAGTTATCAAATTAAGCAAAACATACTTTCAGAAGTCCATTCCTTCAAAATAAAGATAGTTTTATTCAGTATCATTTGGCAGAAAACTAATTCTTAAGGTCAATTTTTGATAGTCAAAATCATAATATCATAGCATAATCAACATCATATCATAATCAACAATTGTTTCAGGTAATTATTCCTTTCCCGGTGACTTTATATTATCAAATTAATCAAATCATGCATTTAAAGGGTCATTACTTCAAAATAAAGATAATTATATTCAGCATTATTTGGCCTATAGTCAAAAATTATCCTTAATCAACAATGTTCTCAGATACCTAACCCTTACGTATGCCTTTCCCAGTGGTTTAGTTAAGGAACCTACGATTCTAGAATTGTCAATACGTATTAAAGAAAAGCTCTCTGCTGGATTTTAAATAGTCATCTCTTCTCCATATTAATGTGGCCATCTCTCCTAATGTTGATGATGAGATAGCTTGTACTAAATCAAAATCTCTGTATCAAAGGTGTTTGGAGAACCAGAAATTTGAGTTCTTAACTCTTTCATGTTTGATGATTTATCCATAATTGATGTGTTAGATGAGGCAATGAGGTATCCATCGAATATTTAACCTCACTCCACTGTAACACTCCTCAGCTTTTTCCTTTAGGAACAAAGATTGGACTATATACGTGCTTTTAAAGTCTAGCTAGTTGGTCAAAAATATAACCTATGTATAAAAAAAAGTGTATTAATTAATTCTCGAAAAATATTTGATTCTCAATTTCATTAAAAATTTTGCATACATTTTGCTGTCTCGAAAAGCAGTGTTTTGTTCAATTTAAACTGCTTCCTGTGAAATAGCATCTGCTGCTAATATGTATTTAAAAAATATTGGATAAATTTAAATAGGAAATCTCTCTTCTCCTTTCATATAACCTGAACTTACCCTTTATCACTCTGTTTATAAAGCTTTCATTTTCTGAAAGGAATTAAAGTCATTCAATTAATCAAATTTTATTAATGTATTTCTTATAAAAATAAGAATACTTCAAAAATAGTTTTGAGAGAAATATATATATATATGTAGAAAAATCAAACCTAATTTTACGCTTTAATGATTCAAAAAGATAAAAAATTATCTTTTCTCTTCTCAAGAAACTAAAATGAATTATGATTCGTAAGTCCTGTGCACGTGCTAGTAAAGTTAATAAGTGGAATAAAATATTTTTTTCCTTGAACTGCTTTTCAAGCTGCTGAAATTGCACTTGATTTTTACCCAAAATTATTTTTATTTTTTATAAAAAAGAATACTTTTCTTTTTGTTTTCAAATACGTATTATATTTGTTTATAAATTTTGTTCTTATGCAGTCAATTTACTATACAGTCATTTTAAGTTTTTTTAGAGCATAAATTTATTTAGCAATGTAAAACTGCTAAAAGTTACATAGAAAGAATTAGAGAAAAATATCCATAATGAGAAATATTTTTCATATACCAATCCTTAATTTTTTACTATAGAAACTCTGTCTACGATGGACACTATATGCGTTGTCATTCTCTCTGAGGAGGAACATTTTGAAGATCTTGCGAACTTTGTAATAAAATAACGCAAATTTGATTTGTATTAAGCGGGATCTGCCTAACATAGGAACAAAACTTTAAAAATGACTATTAGAAACGTAGAAATCTTCCTCAGACTGAATCGTTTTCCTGATATAAGCAATGATCCTAAATTCTTTGTTATGTGAATACCCGTTCTTTTTAAAGTAAATGAATAAAGTAAATGAATAAAGTAAATGAATAAAGTAAGTGAATAAAGTAAAGGAAAAAACAATAAATGAATATAAATGAATACAGTAAGAAAATTGAATGCTATATCGATATTTATCAACAGTACAAATAATGCACAAAACTGAAAGACATATTGTTGTTCTTTTATTGACACTTGGACAAGCAAATCTAACCAGCCATTGGTCTCTTGTGATTTAATTAAGGAAGGTGCGACTTTCGATCGGCAGGAAAGCACCAGGAGGGTAAAAGTACGTTTTAGTTCAAAACCCAACGGTTAGAGGGCAGCACCAATGATTCGCGAAGTCACTTCCTCAATTTAGGCAAAGATTTGAAAGAAAACTATCGGCGTACCACTGTCCATGGAATGGCATATACCAGAGGTGGGGAGCCTTTATACCATTAGAGGCCACATTTAAATTAGGCAGCAATAAGAGAGGCCGCATAAGCTGATTGACCTAAGAAAGTGACTTTTGTGAAATTATTATAGTTTTTCTTTAGATATAACAATTTATTGCATTATATAGAAAAAATAAAATATAATACTGCAAAATTTTAAATATAATATACATATAAAATAATATTAAAGTATTATAAAAACATACAATAAAAAATATTTTTTTATTCACTAAGTTATTGACTTATTTGGCTTTGTTTTTTGTTTGATAGTAATTGTATATTTGGATCAAGATTCGTAACACACAGCTTGAATTGATCCTCTAAATGTGCATCTGTAATTTGCGTTCTTAGATTTGTTTTTATTTTTGACATGAGAGAAAATGTTGTCTCGCAACAGTAGGTACTTCCGAAGCAGGAAAGTAAACGGCGAGCATGTTCTCGAAGGCATGGATATTCAACAGCATTTTTCCAGATTTCTATGGGATCCTTTTTAGCGTTAAAAAGGGATTTGATGATACTATCTTCCCCTAAATCAATTAACTCCATTTGTAGTTCTGCAGGAGCCTCGGATATATCTATTAAATGTGGTTCAAATGCCAGTTTCATAGCAGGAGTGTGCTCGTCAAAATCAGAAAATCTTTTAGTATACTCTTCTATTAAACAATCCAAGACACCTACATATTCATCGAATATTTTATTTTCACAGTTCTGCTCATTTAACATTTTAGCTAGCTCCGGGAAGTGTTGTGCAGATATTTCCGATCGACAAAGCAATGTTTTGAAAAATGATAATTTTTTTCTAAACGCTTGGATCTTTTGCCACATTTCATAAATATACCTCGTTTCACCTTGCAGGCAAATATTTAAATTGTTTTGTTTTGTCATCATATCAGACAAAAATGCAAGGTTTCTGAGAAATACTTCATCTGATAGATCACATTGTTTTCCTTGTTCTTGATAAAAGTTTAAAATTTGTCGTCGTAAAGACAAAACTTTTATCAAAACCTGACCTGTTGATAGCCAGCGAACCTTGCAGTAGTATGGTAGGTCAACACTATACGTTTCCTCATCTAAAGAGAGCATCTGCCGAAATTCACGATGACGCATTGCATTTACGCGAATATAGTTGACAATGGCAATGGTTCTATCCAGAGTGTCTTGCAAAATGGTAGATTTTGCGCAAAGATTTTGCTAATGCAAAATGCAGTGAAATGATATCAATTTTTTCAAGTTTAAGTTTTCCTTTTTTAACAAAGCAACGAATCCTTCTTTTTTGCCTCTCATGGAAGGTGCGCCATCGGTGCAGACACTGACTAAATTACTGACATTCAATTGTAATTTATTACATACTTCTTTGAAGTTTTCGAAAATATCGGCTCCGCGAGTTCTTCCAGTTAGTGTACCCAACGCAAGTAGTTCTTCGTAACATTGAAAATCTTTAGTTATAGCACGAATAAAATATAAAACTTGTGCCGAATCTGTTTTATCAGTGCTTTCATCTAAAGCAATTGAAAAATAAACATCTTCATTTTGTATAATTGTATGAAGTTGCTCTGTTACATTTTGCGCTAATTCGTGCTGTCGATCTGTTACAGTTCTTCTTGAAAGAGGTAATTGTTTGTATTTGTCGACATTTCTTGGATCTAACATACTCACTGCTTCAACAATACATTCTTTAATTATTTCAATGTCACTAAATGGTTTGCCCCTTTTTCCAAGTATATGTGCTATTTTATACGTAACAGCAACTGCAGCGGAATTTTGATTTACAAAGGCACTAAAAGATGCCTGCTGATGATGCTTCTCATTTTTCAACTTTTGAAGTGCAGCTTTTCGTGATTCACCTTCTAAAGCGAAATATTTATGTTCTTTATGAGTCAAATAGTGTTTATTTGCATTCGCTTTTTTTAAAGTATTTAAAACTGTATTGCACAACAAACACAACATTTTATCTTTCTCAGCAGTAAAGAAAAAATCTAACTCCCATTCTACATTAAATGTTCTGTTTTAATCACCTAATTTTCTTCTCTTACTATTTGACATGATGGATAAAAAAACTAATATTAAATAATATCTTTAACAACTGTTATAAGCCGTGTAACTGTTATAAGCACGCACTGTTAACTACAGTTTGCTGAAGATCGCAACATGGAAGTGTTGAGAGATGCGAGTCAGAGAAGCCAAAGCAAGGTGTGACACCCAAATGGGAGATCTGAAACCAACAAATTTTGTAAATAGTATTTTGTAATTTTAATTTATTTTCAAATACATATTACATAGAACATTATTCGTTTCTTTTAGATATGCAAATTACATAAACATTGTGGAATTTTCAGTAAAGGAATTTGTGGAATTTTCAGTCTTTGGCGGGATTTTTCGCGCAACTGTCATGGCGTTGATGTACAATAGTTGTTTTTTGAAACGAACTCTACCATTTTGTACTAGGTGGCAAAGGGCCACACAAGAACCTCGCGGAGGCCGCAGGTTCCCCACCTATGGCATATACTGACATAATAGTTAAAGCTCAAATGATTCCTATTTTTTATTTGTTATTCTTTGGTTTTTTTCGTGGTGGTTTTAAGTTTTTAGATTAAGTGAAATTTGCTTTCAAAGTTTATCTTATTATCAATAATATTAATTTGGCATAATGCTATTTCTTGTGGTCAACTCATAGTAGTTATGTACAATTTTCTTCAATCAATAAACTTTTTTTTTAGTCTATTTCCGTATTAAGGCCGCATATTTTTTAGGTAAACTTTGCACCAATAATAAGTAATTTTATTAATTTATTTGGTACCTATTACGCCAATATCAGAAGTGGCTTTTACCAAAATTAATTAAGCTCCGTTGATGTTAATTATAATATAGCTATTTTTTAACTGTTATTGGAAGCGAGAAAGAAATTTCCTTTTATTAATTTTGTTTTTCGGAACATACTTGTCATTATTTTTAATTTAATTGCCGTATGTTTTATCATAATTAGTTTCTCCATATCGAAAATAGTATCCGCTGCTGACTCTAATGTTAAGCTTAAATTTACATTTTGTTTTCTGCACAAAAACTATTAAGTACGAAACATGAAACTACGAAGATGCTTAAAAAATCATTCTGGGATTGCAATGGAATAAAATAATTTAACATTCGATAATTTGTTCGACAATTATTAACTGTTTAACTTTTATGAACCGTTTAATGGAGAACTGGATAAAACGAAAATTTTGCCTGGCACCGATGATTTTATCTTAGAAAGAAATTAATTTACTTAAAGTATATGCATAACAATATTCTTTATGAAACTAGCAAACACTTATTTATTTTCCGATGCACCAAATAACCAAATGCAACATTTAACTGAAATCAAACTCAATCCTTCAGAGTAACAAAATCTACTGTCTTCAAGCCTGTCTGATAGTTAGTGATCCGTTAAACCATGTCCCTGACCCCCTTGACTAAAACCATGCCCCCAATCCTTTAACGGGGGCAGAAGCTTAAGTTGTGTCCCATTTGTCGAATGGTTAGAAAGCTCCGACAGATTACTAGCTGGATTAGAAGGCCTAATAACCCGACGGGCTTGCTAAGGAAAGATAAGGACTTGGGACTGACATTCTTCAGTCGATGGAAAGGAATTCCTGATAAGAAAGAGGCTTTTCGGGTTCCAACCTCGTGCTTAAACTGGTAAATAGGAAATGTCGATCTTTCAGCCATTTTCTTTAAGGAATGTGGGGAAGTGAATGATTAGATGCCTTAAGGAGTTCTTTTTTTTGTGGATAGGGACGTTGATGGGAATATTTCTTATCCAACGGAATGGTATCGTATTTTTCTGAAAACAAATGACTTCATTTTGGAATAGGACAAAGATATATTATCACCATGATAAATGTTTTTGTATTTATTTTTTTTTAAAATTATATATTTCTTCAAGATATTTATCAAACAAAAGGTAAAATTAATTATTAATCAGTTGTATTTAATTGTATTGCATTTAATTGTATTGTATTCCATTATACTGTATTGCATTGTACTGTGCTGTATTGTGTGAGATTGCTTTGCATCACATTACAGAATACTGTATTGCACTGCAATAACACAGCATTATTATTGCTATTTTCTTAAAAGTTTTCAAAATTATTTTTGAGAGAAATTCTGTGGCAACTACCCCACAAAAATTTCAATTCACAATTGAATCATAACTTTGTTCAAATTTACTTCCATCACATCCAATTAAACTTTATTTTTTTTATTTTAATCTAATTCAGTGCGTTATTAATTAAAATCAGAAAAATAATTTTTTGTTGTTTCTAATTTAAATTAATTGTTCACAAATACAATATCAGGTTCAAAGTAAAAGACGACATTTAAATCATTTCTAATTTTTTCATGAAAGTTTAGCATGCAAATTGATAAACATATTATATTAATTCTATAATTTGGTCGAAAACTGGTTTTAAAAATATGTTAAATTGAAACTATCTGTATGTGTATAAATCATGCAGAATACCGTTTACGTCTTAACGTCCAGATTAAAGATTTTACTCCACAGAAGACTTTACAGCATAACTCAATATATAAAAATTGACAGTTTGCCTGGATGTATATTCACTTATAACTGGAAAACAGTAGTACCGGATTAAATATTCTTCGGATTGAGCATTCTTCAGCAGTTGCAAATTTTCTTGGGCTGGCTTGTGAACGTTATGTGGTTCAGACAAATAATCGAAAATACAAAATTTCAGTGATGAAAACTATTGCTATAGATAAAAACTTAAGCTGTCATGTAGACAGTATTCTTATAAAATATTTGAAAAAATAGACGCAGATGAAACCATTAGAAGAAAAATTAAATATCCTGTACGCTAGCTGAACTCAGAGCTTAAGCGTGGAAATAAAGCGTGTTAGAAGCAAATATGCAAACGAACAATGTAAAAATTCATCCTAGGTTGGCTCAGTTATTACACAAAAAATTCTAAATCATGTCTAAATATAGCCTAGTTCAATTCAATATATTCTAATAGGTTTCTAGTCGGTATCTTTATTTATCTTTTATATTAATAAAGTAAAACTAATTTAAGAAAAAAAGTACTTTATATTTTTATCGAAAACAAATTTTCCAGATTCTTATCAATATCTAGTCACAACGTGCTCCTGAATGCTAATGAAATTCTTAAAAGTAATTGAAAAATAACTCTACAAGTTACATTATTTCATTTTTGGAAGCTATTTCCTTTTAAAGGAAATGAAAAATTCAGGAGGGTAAAGTTGAACGGAGTCTTTTATAAACAGCTTTCTTCAAAAGCTTCTCTTTTATGTCGTCTGAAAGAGCAAAAGGAGAACTGTTACCACTGCAATATCAAAATTTTGTAAAAAAGATTTCCGTATTAATCTCGTATTACTTTTTAAAAATTGAGCTGTCTTTCTCTATGTCACTTCCCGATGGCTTTTCTTTGTATTTCGCCGAGATTTCCTTTTTCCTTTTCTTTCAGTATTGTGAAGTTTTCATAAAAGATATCCTTCTTTCTACTGAACATCACTCAGCTTCTTTGAAATGATTTTGATTTCATATTAATATTTGACAAAAAGCATAAAATAGAAATAACAAAGACATTCAATGGTTGTAAAATAAAAATAAGTATTTTTCATTTACTTTTAATAATGCTCATTTTAAGGTATTTACCCAAATAAATCTAAAATTTGTTAGGAAAGAATATTATGTTTATTGAAGTCGTGATCATGTTGATGACTCGATTTACAGTCAAATATTGATATTTTTAAATCCCTATATGCTTAAAGAAATTGAAATGTAAGAAGTATTTTAATACTCAAAACATTTTGGGGAGATTTTCATTTAAGAAAGTATTATTTCGTCCAAAAAAGTACTTAACAATATTAAAGTGCTCGAACGAATTTAAGCAACATGATACGCCAACCAATTACCATGTTTGTACTAAATAGATTCATAAGAAATCGAGTAATCTTGCACGCGTAGTCAGCAAATTTGAATTGAGAAAAGCTGCTTACAGTTTGCAGATGATCATTGTAGTTTCGAAAATGGATGTGTTACTTTCTGTATTTAGTGCGTAGGTTTGAGTATCTTTGTTGTAATTTTAGAAGCTCTTTGAGGAACATATTGCATTCAGAATAAAACTTCTCATAACAAAGGAAGCCATAACATATACTTTTTGTAAAATATTGAAAATTTTGTTGACTGAACTTTTCAGGCTCCTTATAAGAATTCAATACTTTTATTAATATTTTTTTATTATTTTACTCTTAACTTAATATAAGTAAACTTTCTTTCAACTTAATTTTATTTTTAGAATTATGTTTATTTTTTTAGCTTTAACTTAAATTTTAATAAAAAAAAATAAAATAAGCAAACTACTTAATAAATACTATAGCAAAACATTTTTTTAATAAGTCTTAGGAAAGGGAACATGGATTGAATTTGATTTTACTAAATATAAAAAACAGAAGTAATGTATTTTAAAAACTTCAAACACCATATTTCAAATTCTGATATTTTTGTTTATTTGTTTCTTCTGTTATTTGATTACTAGCCAAAGCAAATATTAATAAAAATTAAATAGATATTTCAAATATAAATTTAATATTGACTCACAAAAGTATTATTATTCCTAACTGTTATTTATTTTTGGATCTTCTTAACAAAATCTCTTTTGAAAGGAGAAATATTGGAATTCCACTGATTTTCCCGATTGGGTAAAGTTTACTGAGGATTATTCCATTTTTCCCTAGATGAGAGTTATTTGCTCAATACCCTTTATATAATCCTCTTTATTTTAGTATTTTAAGCCAGCTTAGAGATTTAAGACTTTACTCAGCTCAGAATATGTTTCGTACCTAATATTATGCCTTTTGTTTTTAGCATTTACTGAAGTATTTTAGGATCAATTTGATTGGAAATGGTTTAATACATTTTTTGGGGGGAT